AGGTTTAATTTCACTTCTGGTTTGGGGGATTTGGTCTGTGATCTGCTGGTCCCAAGGCAGAGACATCATGGCTTGGTGGAAGGCCATGGCTGTGCAAAGCTGCTTAGTTTATGGCGCCTGTGAAGCAGAGCAAGGGAAGACTGCCACAGCAGAATGGTGAGGGGCCAAACACAGACCTCGAAGCCGCGCCTCTGCGACCCACCTAGACACACCTGCAACTGTGCTCTACCAATCCCCAGGGCAGCCACAGTCACTCTGGCTGTGAGCTATCTGTGGATCTTCAGTTTCATCCCTTTGGTGATCTCTACCAGCTCATTTCAGGCCCCCGCCTCGTATGCAAGCAAATACATGCAGCTTGGGACTCTCAGGGGACAATATGTAAGTCTTTGCTGTGGAATCATCTAAGATCTTGTTAGAAGCAGGTTCCTGAACCGGGATGACTTCCTGTTCAGAATGTCTAAGGATGTTAATGGATGTCTGGAAAGACCCTCAAGGATTTTGGTCAATGAAATATTGAAGCTATGGTGTAACTCACAAGGCTACAGTGCTTGCCCAGTCACTGCTTAAAACATATTGGTTTCACCTGTTTTAGTTCTATGGGTTCTCATTTGCTGTTTAATCAATTTATGCCTTGCTAGGTGTCTGCGTCACGGACAAAGTGAAATGTAGCTTATCTTTTGTAAAATGTCTTCTACAAACATCTTCACAAAATTAAAGGTGACTGTGTGCTTTGCTCTTGTTTGGAGGAGTCTTACAGATCCTTCAGGCTTCAGGAAAAAGCAAATGGTCTCAATACTGTAAAGGCCTTTGGAGCAGGGAATCCTGCAAGTGAATATGTGAGGGGACCAGAGCAGTAGCCAATGAGCCTGGAGTAAGGCAGGACAAACAAACACTGAATGAGGCCAGACGGACAACGAAAAACAGTGTGAATGGTGGGAACCAGGATTTTGAGCAAAGATATTATTTCTTTTAAAAAGATCATTGTTGTAGCTCTTATACTGGTTATAGATTCCGGTGTAAGGAGTGGGGTAAGGGAAGGGAGGTAGGTCACGTAACAGACTGCCCAGAGCAGCAAGTGAGACAAAAAGGGATAGAGTTGCAAGAAGATAATGGAGATAAATGGTTACAAGGAAGATTTTGAAATTACAGCTGGCGAGAACTTCTGAGAGACCACACGTAGGCTCTGTGGGAAAGCGGAAGTTTAGGGACAGAGGCAAGGCTTTTAGCCTCCACAACAGTGAGATATGAAGCCGGGAAAAATTAAGTTTACTTTGTTCAGTTTAAAATGCTAATGGTGTATATGTGGAAATTTTAGTGGAAAACTGGAATTATAAGCCTGGAACATGGGTGAGTGAACTGTGAAATTAACGGGACTGGGATAAACTCATAAACAGGGAGTGTAGATAAGGGATTGGAAGGTTAGGAACAAACGTTAGAGCTCTGTAACACCAGAGGTCGAGGGGTGGAGGTTTCACTAACAGACTGGAAGGAATGCCTAAGGAGAAAGGAAGAAAAGTAGGAGAGCATGGTGTTTTGAAAGCCAGTGAAACACAGCATTAATGGTGGATATTAAAACTCCCTCCCCAAAATGTCTTGTATTAATACTATCTTAAAACTTGATATTCTAAAAAAGATCTTCAGCAAACAAACAGAAACGAAAGAATAATTTTCTATCCTGAGTGACTGACTGCATTAGCATGGCTAACGAAAAAGTTGCACAAAAGGGAATCAAGCCTCTAGGTAAAGCATTATTTTAAATTTCAAAAAATCCATTAAGAAATAAGGGCACAATGCTTAAATGTAATATTTTTGTCTCTGTCCAACTCCAGCTACAGCATACTGTAAGTGAAGATGAATGGTTACTTTAACATCAAATTTAGGGGAACACAAAATTCCTGGTGTTTAAAATTAGATTTTAAAATAGATTTTAAGTCTTTCTATGTTTGCAGGAAGTTTGAAACTTGTCATATTTTAAGCGGAATTTTGTAAAAGACCGTAACGGTTTCAGAGTCAAAATGGAGTTTACTTATAAAATTACTTACTTGAATTCATTTTAATCGATTTTATGGGTAAAGCCTAAGACTCTAGTGCTCTGGATACTAATAAATTATTTCATTTCCTTCCTTTTTTTGAACTTCATTGGGTATTTTTTAATATTGTCATTTTATATTTTTAGTCATGTGACTTCTTAGAAATATTATGTTCAAAATCATAAATATATCGCACCAGCTATATTACAATTCTGAAAATTGAGATGCTTCTAGTCTTAGATTTAAAAATAAAAGTTTATCTGTGAATGTAACTTACCCAACCATCGTATAGCTTGGCAACCTTTGATACCTGGAACTATAACATAAGACTTATATGTCAATAACTGTGAAACTTTTACATACATGTTATATATATAACGTAAGATACACACACACACACACACACACACACACACACGCATACACATATACACATATATGGTGTCCTTAAGAAAAATACTCAAAAGGTGGAATTTAACTTCCTGTGTGACCCTGGGCAAGTCGCTTTCCCTCTCTGAGCCTCAGATTCCCTATCAATGACCTATAAAATGACAGATCACTTTCAAACACTAAATAGTTTATGATACCACAACTTCATGATTATAGGGAATTGTATGTTTCCCTGCAAAGACAAACAAGGTAAAAACCTTACATTGTTGTTATGGTCTTTATTTAGTAAATTTCCAAGTATTTTGTGCAAAGTTCTCAAAGCCTTGGCCACATGCTCTCTCCTGTGAGTGCTTAGTGTAGTGTATTCATTTCATTTCAAGTAATTATAGGAGATACAGATTCCTTATATTCCTCTTCCCCCAAAATGGATTCCTTTTCACTCTCTACCTCCTCACTTCCCTCACTTCCCTTCTTTCCTCCCCACATCCTCACTTCATAATATCTTCCTACAACACATGGTTTTAAACATCTTCCAATATTTTGTAAGATAACTAAAAGAAATGACATCAGAGATTTCTTAAATGTTTAAAAATGCTAAGTAATTAAGATTAAATTATAGAGAGCTCAAGAAGGTTAACTTACAGGAAGAGTTTGTAAGAGTAAAAACATTGCAGATGTACATTACAGTTTCTATCTAAAGGTTATAGCTTGTGTCTAGATATTCTCCCAAAGCCTCATGCGCTCATAGGTGGGGCCTTTCAGAGGTGGCTGGATCTAGGCTGTGGAATATAGATCAAGAAAGTGTGATAACTGTGTCAGTCCAGTGGTTATATAGTATATAGTCCTGGGTGTGGTTGGATGGATTTACTGAAGGCAGCTTTGGTTTTGTGGTAACTGCATTTTTATGCAAAATTTTGCATTTCTTTCTCTAATGAAAGGCTTTTGTCCTCCCTTGGAACTGAGAAGATAGTGATAGCACTTTATAGAGAAATAGCCACTGCAGTACTACCTGTGGAAAAAGCGTGAATCAGAATTTTAGCAGCTAGTGACTGTGAAATTGTCCTTAACTTTATCATTATATAAATGCTTGAGAAACACAGGTTGCAAATAACACAGTTATTATCATCAGAGGGGTTTTACATCTACAGTCCGTCATTTAGTGGTCATGTGTTGTTCCTTAAAATGAAGAGCATTTTGGAGAAACTATTAAAAATCAGTCTCAAATCTAGACAGATTGTTTATATTTGCAGTATGAGATTTGGGCTTTCATATCACACTATGTCATAGTCTTGGTAAATATGGAGCCTGGACTAGTCTTATACTTTGAGTCATGAGGATTACACATTTATTCAATAAATTTTATGCTTATATTCAATGTGTCACTTATGGTGCTGGCTCCTGAGACTACGGAGGTCAACACCCAAGGCAATAAAAGGATAGACACCTTTCCTACTACACTAACTTGCTTTTCATTCATTCATCCACCTGTCACTCCACGTGCACCGTGTTGAGTACTGACTAGAAGTGCTGCGCTAGACACCAAGTACTGCACACAGCTGTAAGTGAGAACACTGTCACCAGATTTGGACGTCACTGCTGTGCTTTGTCTTCTCATACAATGCGAAGGTCCTCTGCCCTAAGTTTTAATCTGAAATTGCAGGTGGAAAGAAAACTGTCGAGCGGGATCCTGGCATGCACAGGGAAATGCAAACAGAGCACCTTTTTCACAGGGCCGTTCTCCTCCCCTCTAGCTCCTATGCGTACTTATTTTGTGCCCCATCCAAGACTGGATGGGCCCCAAGAAGAGCCAAGGTAATTCACTCACATCTTGGACTGGGACTGTTCCTGTACCCCTAATTTTGATAAACATCTAGAAGGTCATGGAAACGCGGTCTGAAAATGGGCTGTGAGGAGAAAATGCCAGAAGGGAGAATCTGCTGCTCCCCACGCCGAACGCCCGGCGCGGAGAGCACAGGTACGGAGATCGCTAAGTGCTAAGTGCACTTAGCAACCGGGAACTAAAAATGGAAAACAGAAGTCACGCTGTTATTGTGTTCTTTTTCCTCCAGGGTACTCTCCGATAAACACCAGCACCTCCCAGGGAATTGTGAGCAATTTCCTTCTGTGGTGGGTTAGCTATTACTCTTTTTTCAAACAGCTCCCACCTTTCAGCATACTTAATTTGGGTGATTACATACAAAGTCCGTGAAAAAATGTATACACTCCTCAGGAAAAGAAAAATAGTACGATATTTTTTCCATAGATGGTGTTATCCTCACAGGCAGAACTCTGGAGGATACACAATACCCACTACACTTGGAGAAGAAACTGAAAATGCGTGTGCAGCGATCTCAATGGCCTCAGATGCCCAAGCAGCAGTTTGCTGCACTGAACGAGGTCTGGAAGCTAGCGGCCCCGGCATGAGCACCTCTGGTAATTACAGAGGCCAAGGGTAACTTATTTTCATCTCATGATGTCTCAGTGAATTTAGTGTTAAAACAGTTGCACAAGATTTTCTTTTCCTGGAGTGTGTACACACTTTTTTTGGCAGACACTGTATGTGCAGTTCAGTGTTCCTACCTCATTGGAAACCTTCTTGTTCTTAATTCATTGAATTTTCTTTTTTCTTGGAGATAAGCTTCAGAATTTTATTGGAAACTGCTGCTTTGAAGGAAGGCAGGTCTTCTCAGGAAGTCAGGCAACTGAAATGGAGACAGCAAGGAAAATTGAAATTATCTGTACATACAGACATCATCTATTTAGTTTTAAGTGACTGTCCAAACACACTTCTTCCAAACCACTAAAGAGAAATTAGCGATCTGTAAACTTGAATACAAAGCAAACACATCATGATAAGAGCATAGCTTGCATTTTGGGGCTTTGAGCCAAGCAAGAACTTCTTAAGAGGCCGGTTATTCCTAAAAGGCTAATTAACAAAGTGAGAGCAAAAGAAGTCAAGTTTACCGTCTTTTCCTCTAAAATTTACATTCCTTCTTTAGTCTTGGCAGTCTTCATTTACATCTCCAGAAAATTATTTGACTAAACTCAGTTATTCACAAAACAAGCATCTGAACTTGTTGAAGGATATTTCAGGCACTATTAATGGCTTTTCAAGCTTTGTCAAAGACAAACTCGTGTGTGTGTGTGTGTGTGTGTGTGTGTGTTTAGCTCTTTTTGTGATGGGTTGGTGTAGAAATAAATTTGTTGACTTCCACCCAGTGATTTTGAAGACGAATATTAGGTTAAAAGGAAGCAAATGATGCAATAAAATCCTGAGGTTGTGATTCCAAAATAATAATAGCAGTTTCCTCAGTGACTAAAGAAACAGTCTTCTCTAATTATAGTTGCACCTGTTACAGACCATCTGCTCATAAATTCTGTCCCATCATTACTGGAGCACAAGTGATATTATCTCTTCCTCCTTCCTCCCCTAGCATGTTCTCTATAAAGTCTCTTTTTAGGGCCGTGCTATTGTCCATCTGTTCACAAACGTTAGAAGCCAGGAGGAGCATCATATACTGAGCCATCTCTCGTTACCCGCACCACTGGTGCTCCTGCGAGGAGTGCTGGGCTGTTAGGAGGCTAGAAAAGATTTGTGGTTGGCTTAGGGTGAGCTCACCTCAGAGAAAGAACTTTGAAAAAGAACGTGCAGGCCATCTGCTTATCTGGGAGGTCGTCCTAGGAAACCCAGGAGTCAGACGGAAATGGAGAACAGAGGCGCGGAATGAAGCAAGTCAAGGTGTGTTCCGGAACAGGCTACTCCTGTGCCTGACTACTCGTCCTTCCGCAGAGTTCAGTAAGACTGTAGAATGTGCCTCAGAGCAGTGAGAAAGCTGAGGTACCTGGATCGCAAAGCACTTCTGCAGTTGGTTGAAAGCTATGTCCAGATACACTAACTCCTGAGCACTGTGGCCCACTCCCTGCAGGTGCATCATGAATCCATCAGGATAGACTGAAATGATGAGTGTTGGGAGCTGCAAGTGGGGCGCCGACAACACCTGACTCATGACAGTGCGGTATTAGTGACTGGCTTTTAACTTCAAGTGGATAATCTTAAGTTTCTGGGTTAATTATTTTTCTTTGAGGTATTCAAGTGCTGAGGATATACCACTAACCTTTCCTCTACTAGGTCATGCTTAGGATTCTAATTCCCTACTCTCCTGGCAAACTATCCTTATGCTTGATAGAATCCTAATAAATAAAGGGAAACAATTACAATTTTATGTTGATTACTTATTCAACATACATTTATTGAACTCCTTATGTGTACCCGGGTATAAACTAGAGACCACCGTTAGAATCATTATTTTAAGTCAGTCTATTACAGAGTGTGATGGGAAGACACAAGTAGCACTTTAATTCATTGTAGCTCATTGATTTACTACAAGTCTGTAGAGGAATATTTACAGGTGTTCCTGTAGAAGGCAACACTGCACTTGGACATGTAAAGGGAAGTGAGGTGACTTTTGGAGCAAAGAGGAGAGAAATTTCCAACGACAAGAAGAAGCACGGTTATGCACCGAACAAAAAGGAGTGTCATACGTAATTGGAATAAAGAGTGTTCCAAGAGGTGTAAAAACCAAAGTCAAGTGACAAGATGGTGCATGCTAGCCAAAGAATGAATGGGTCATGTATGCATGGTAACAATATGAGAAATATCCAAAGGAGGGGGATACCCACTGAAAAAGCATTAAGTCTGCAGGAATTATATTACATTAGAACCATAACATTCTGCCCTTGGCCCCCCCAAAGACTCATGCACATCCCTTAACACAAAACGCATTTAGTCCATCTGCAAGAGTTGCCAAAGTCCTAACAGTTTCAGCATTGCTTAAAAGTCCAAGTCCCAAGTCTCCTCTGAGATGTAAGGCAACTCTTAGCTGCAAAGCCCCCACACAAAGGAAAAGCTGAACACTTGTAACATTCAATGGCACAAGATACACATTTTCATTCCAAAGGTTACAAATGGGAATACAAAGGCTTGGGACCAAAGCAAGTCCAAAATCCAGCAGGTTAAACATTAAGTCCTGGAGTTCCTTGCACAGCATCTGAGACAATCAGTGGCACACTGTGAGCTCCAAAGGGTGTGGATGGCTCCACTCATATGGCACTTCCAGTGTTTGTAGCTCCCATGCCTTCTCTCTTGTGCCCACTTTGCCCCCTCCTTGCAGGTCTCCTCAGATAATCCACATTCCTTGCTCTTCCAGACTTTTGGGGTCTCTACCACATCTTTGGCTCTATCCTCATAGCTTCACACATTGCCCTCTCAGGGGCACACAGCCTGGCTTCTCAGGCCTTCTGAAATCAAGGTGGAAGCCTTCTTAACCCCGTAACTCTTGCATTTTGCATGTGCTTAAAACCAGAGCCACATGGATGATGCCAAGGCCTATTGACAGCTGGAGCAGCAGCCAGGCTTTCTTCTCTCTTGGCTGTAGGGGTCGAGTTCCTGGATCACTGGACACTCTGAATCTAATTCTGAGGGACAAATTTTCTATGCTGCAGCCATTCAAGAACATGGTGCAAGCACTGCCGTTCTGGAACATGGTGCTCTGTGGCTTTCTCCTCAAAGCTTTCACTTTTGAAGTTTTGAGGCTGCAAAGTGTGGAGACTTGCTGCTTCTTTTGTCGTCTTTAGGCCATCTTTTCTATTTTCCTACTCCTTCTCATTAATCAAGATCTCCTCAGTTTTATCTTTTCAGTCCACAGCTTTACTGGGCTTCCCTCCTGGCCAAACTCACAATGTTTTAAACCATTCTTCTGGCTCTTTGCTCTAGATTCTCAATATAGATCCAGCTAAAAGCCTCCAATAGTAGCCATGTCACTACCTCAACATTTAACTGCTTTGAAATTTCCTCCACTAAATTACTTAGTTCACCACCCTTAATCTCAGTCTCAGGCAAAATCTCCGGATATGGGTAAAATGCAGACAAACTTTCTTCTAAGCCATAACACATATCATCTGGAATCCAACAGCCAGTGCAGTCCTTGTTCCCACCAGAAATCTCCTAAGCCTGGTCTTTACCAGCAGGACTTCTATCAGCCTTCTGGTCATCTGAGCCCTGACCAGAATCTCCCATACAGAACAGCTTAAAGTGTTCTAGTGTTAAGCCTTCCAGGCAACAACATCTCTGAACCTTTCCAAACTCTTTCCATAAGCCATTCTCAAAGGCTCTTGAACTACAAAGTCATATATTGTCACAGCAATGACCTCACTTCTGACCCCATACCAAATTCTGTGTTGCTTACTTTTCTGTCATTGCTGAGATAAAATACCTGACACTCAAAGTTAAGGAAAGGTTTATTTAGCTCACAGTTTGTGGAGGTTTCAGTCCATAATCAGATGGTTCCCAGGCCAATGGCATTGCTGAAGGGCAACACTTCATGGCAGCAGAAGAGAGCAAAAACAACAAGAGCAAAAAAATGTGGGGGCAGCAAGCCTCTTTCCCTCCCTTATAGTACATGCAGGCTACCTGCCCTAGGTCAGTTGTAGCACACCATCTCCATGCCCTCCTCTTGCACTGGCTGAGGATGTTTACCAAGTGAGGACCCTGGCCCCCCGCTTAATTGCTTAGTTAAACATCTAAACTTCTCAAATTGACACAACGAATCAACCATCACAACATCCTAGGGTGTGAACAGATGCCCTAGGGCATGTCCTTTACACCGTAGGATATAGAACTCCTGCATCACTTAGCTAAGCATCTAAACTTCTCAAATTGACACAATGTGTCAACCCTTACAGCTAGCTTGGAGTATAATGAGTAATGTTTAATTGTATACTAAACATTATGAGAATTATGTAATTCTGGACCCTGCTCTATCTTGTTATTTGTTTAGTCATAAAGTTCCCTTATGTTGAGATATAGCATAGGGGCTAGCTGGGAGGGGATGTGCAGCTTTCCATAGGGCTCCACTAATAACCACTGCAGCAAAAGTGGGACACTAACTCACAGTGTCTTAGTGCAAGCAGGTAAGAGAGAAGTTTAACTCTACCTTTGGCCTTGCTGTCATCCCCGCAAACACAGTGGGACCTCTCATAAAATCTTGTTGCCTCTAAGTAGAAAGAGGTCCTAATCCTCCTAATCATTGTCTGACACCACAGGAATGGGAAAAGAAGTGTCACTTATGTTACATGTACCACTTCCTTCCATCCTGTTGCAGATCTATATGGGTTCGAGAGTCTGTTCCCACTGGCACTTGGTATGGAGGAGAGGTGGAGTGCCTCCTGTCTCCAACTTTGAACATGTTTTTACTGACATTAAGTGGAAGCTAAGCCCTTGATTGGCTCCGTGACTGTGTGTGAGGAGGCCATTTAACTAGTCCTGCTTGGTACCACTTCCTTAAGTGATTTCCTAATTGTGGGGAGGGGTACTGTCAGGATCTGAGTTGTGGAAAGACCCTAGAGAAAAGGGGCTATCTGATCTTATCAGAACAGAAGTATGGAGCTATGCTTACGTTGAAAGGTGTTTCTGCCCATAAATTCAAGTTTGATGATAATTACTACGACCTCTAGAAATTATCATGCTATATAATATGGCTTCCCAATAGCTAAAACTTTAAAATGTCGTTCTTATGCTTTTAAAAGTTAAATGATTTGGGGGGGCATAAACTGCATAGGTAAGTAAGGGAACAAGACTAGCATGATCTATGTGACAATGGGTTATAATTGAAGTTATAATTATAAACTCATGCTTAGATTAATA